ACTGGAGTGCAGTGGCCGCTCTGGACCTGCTGGCCTCCGGTGATCCTTCTGCCTCAGCCTTCCAAGTAGCTGGAACTACAAGTGAGCCCTACCACGCCCAGCTAATTTTTTGATTTATTGTAGAGATGAGGTCTTGCCAAGTTGCCCAGGCAGGTCTCGAACCTGCAGGCTCAGGCAATCCACTCACCTCAGCCTCCCAAAGCGCAGGATTACAGGCTGAGCCACTGAGCCTGACTTCAGTAGATTTTATGACTGAAAAATATTTCATTATATGTATATACCACATTTTGTTTATTCATTCATCTGTTGACAGACACTTGGGTTGTTTCCACCTTCTGTTTTTTGGGGAAAATGTAGCAATGGTGTACAAGAATCTGTTTGAGTCCCTGTTTTCAGCTAGTTTGGGTATATACCTAGAAGTGGAACTTCTGAATCACGTGGTAATTTTATGTTAAATTTTTGAGGAGCCTCTAAACTATTTTCCACAATGGCTGTACCATTTTACATTCCTATCAGTCATGTAAAAGAGTTCCAATTTCTCCACATTGTCACAAATCTTGTTATTATGTGTGTTTTTTTTTTATAATAGCCTTTCTAGTAAGAGGTGATACCTCATTGTGGTTTTGATTTGCATTTCTCTAATGGCTAATAGTGTTGAGCATCTTTCCATGTGCTTATTTAACTGCCTATTTTTGTAAAGAAACGCTTATTGAAACATATCCACACCTATTTGTTTAACTATTGTCAATGGTTCTTTTCATCTTCTAACAGCAGAGTCGTGATATAGTTTGAATATTTGTCCTCTCCAAATCGCATGTTGAAATTTGATCCCCAGTGCTGGAGGTGGGGCCTAGCGGGATGTTTTGGGCATGGAGGTAGATCCCTCATGAACAGCTTGTGCTGTTTTTCAGTAATGAGTGAGTTCTCCCTCCCTTGGTTGCTGCAAGAACTGATTGTTAAAAAGGTCTAGGCACCTCCCTCTTCTCTTTCTTGCTTCCTCTCTTGCCATGTGACACGCGGGCTCCCCTCCACTTTTGGCCATGAGTGGAAACTTCCTGAAACCTGCACCAGCAGCATATGCCATGCTTCTTACACAGTCTATAGAACCATGAGGTAAGTAAGCCTCTTTTATTTATAAAGTGTTCAGCCCCAAGTATTCCTTTATAGCAATGTAAATGAACTAAGACAAGTAGTGACAGAAACTGTATGGCTGCAAATCTAAGGTGTTTAATTAGTTTGGCATCCTTTAAGAAAAAGTTTGCTGACTCCCATACTAGACCATTAAAAAGTCTCAATATATTTCAAAACATGAAAATCTTTCAAAGTATGGTCTTTGTTCAAAACAGAATTGGATTAGAAATCAACACAAAAAATGAAAACTAAAATATTTGGAAATGTGGAGTAATTTGGAAGGTAAACAACACATTTGTAAATAACCCATGGGTCAGAAAATAAATCACAAGAGGAAATTTAAAAATATTTCTAACAGAATGGAAAAAAATACAATGTATCAAGATTTATGGAATGTAGCTAAACCAATCAGTACTTAATGGTAAAAGAATGAATGATTTTTCTCTAAGATTGGGAATAAGGTAAGGATGACTACTTTTGCCAGATTTACACAATATTATACTGGAGGTTCTAACCAGAGCAATAAAGCAAGAAAAATAAACTAAAGATATACAAACTGTAAAGGAAAAAGTAAAACTTGTTTAAATACAGATGATATAAATAATGGACAAATAAAATCTACTGGAATTTAATGAATTTTTCACCATTGTAAGACACAATCTCATGATGCAAAAGTCAGTTGTATTCTATACACTAGCAAGTAAGAATTAAATTAAGAAATCAGTTTACTTACAATAATTTTAAGAAGAATAGAATACTTAACACTATATTTGTAAAAGAAGTACAGTATCTTTATATTAAGATGACAGGGCATTACTGAGAGAAATTAAAGAAAATTATAATAAATGGATATTCCAGTGTTTTAAAACCAGATTATGACATGGTTGTACAACTCTATAATTTAATTTAAAAAATCACTAAATTGTACACTTACAGTTGGTGAATGTTATGATATATAAATTATACCTCAATGAAGCTGTTTTTAAAAACAACTTTTTTGGGCACAGGTTCTAGGATACATTTGTAACAGAACGTCAGATTTTATGTTTACACTTTTGAAGTAAAAACTTTAAAAAATGTGAGGGTTTATTAAAACCAAGATCTTTTTAGAGTCCTTATTTCAGTCTCTAACTTTTAAAAAGCTAAGCATTCATCATCATGTATTTTAACTTCTAAATCTTCACAAATTCACAAATTCAATGAATAGTGTCCACCATTTTTAAAAAACTTGGGTTGTGTATTTTGTTAGTGTTGCTTGTTAAAAGCTATTATGTATTATATTGGTTATCATAAGAAGGAGAAAATAGGGTGTTGTGAATCCCTGTAAGTTAGCTATTTCAATAATTGGCATGGCGATAGGGTCATTATATCGAAGAATTTTCTCCCCTGACAGAAGTGGACAATTAGCAGATTTTCCACAGCAAGAAACCCTTTAATATCACTGGTCTTCTCAGTGGATAAAATTCACACATCACATAATCCCTCTAATAAATCTCTTCCTCTTAGATGGGGAAGTTCCCTGTGACACAGCATCTGTTAATTTCATTATTTTAAAAGAAACATGAATTGATGTTTTCCTTAACTTGGTTCCTTTGGGGTGTGAAGTTTGATATTAATCTATGTGATTTTAATCTTATTTTGTTCTCAGAAGAAAGAGAAATCATAAAGCAACTTTTATTTGGTACCTATTGACAGTCTGACTCTGGGTCTTTGAAGTCCACACATAGAATTTCAGAAGCAATTTTAATGTGGTCTTCATTTTGTATACCTGTCATCTTTGAAAGACCTTTAATGCTCCAGAGTACTCTTCACACAATGTCAGTAATTGCTAAATACCATCAGGCATTTGAATAAATGCTAAGGGCTCAAACCATGTTCTCACTTTTGAACACCAACATGGACCTTCTCATGGGCAATCCTTTGACATTGTAGCAGCTGATTCTAAAACCCTTGTCCCCACCACTTTTTTGGTCTTGGGTAGGAATACAGGCAACTGATGAACATATCTTGCCTCAAGTATTTCCCAGTAGCAAGTGGTCAAGTGGATAGCCCTTCTCCAACATCAGCTTTTTCGAGGAGAGTGACAGTTAGTGATGGCAGATGACAAAGGGACCCTCAGATCAGCGATCTCAGAATCAAGAGCAGGAAGGGGAACTCAGAGTTGAATGGATTTACCCAAGGTGTAGCAGAAACTAAATTTCCTACCCAATATCTGTCTCTTCTTCTTCCTTACTAACACATCTTTGATTTTGTTTCGAAAGGCAATGTTTCCAGAATAAACAATAACCTTCCCAGCATTTCTTGCAGCTAAGGGTGCAAGTGACCCATTTCTCACAAAGGAGGTGTAAGTGGAGGTCACTGAATGGGATTTTAGGAAAAGTTTTTTAAGGATGCTTGTATGCCCTTTTTTCTCTGCCTTCCTCCCTCCTGCTTGCAGTGTAGACATAAAATTAGATGTCCAGTTCTCACACTGTGGTTTTTATACTGTGCCAGAATCCATTCTGGGTGTGAAAAACTTTCATTTTTAGAGTAATATCTCTTTCTGGTAATCATCAAGTATTGCTAATATTTGGGAAGAATCTATTCATGGACACTACACACCTTATTTGAATTCTACTAGTTTTCCTTATGGAAGTAAAGAGCAAGCATGAGGTTCTCCAGAACTTGAGACCGACAGGAAGCTTCCAAGCCCTACATCCAAGAAGTATCATAAGTTACCTCCCCAAAAGCCCTAACTGTGAACATCCAGAATGTTAACTCTTGCTGCTTGTTCTAAGAGGTTTTCAGTACCAGCTCACAGAGGAAAGTAATGCAATGAAGAAGAAGCAAAGTTCTGGTAAAGAAAAGAGTTACGGAGCAACATTATTGAAGCTTTAAGGAGAGAGGTGTAATGTGTATGTTCTTTTAGATTTCTAGGCCAGAGAGGAGAAATTAGAAAATGAAAAAGGAAGAGACAAACAAGAAAACCCCGTATGTCTCATTAAGCCTACAAAACTCTTGTGTGCCTGCAAAATAGGTCATTTCCACATACCACCCTGTCCATTGATGTTGAGCCCAGCGCAAACTCTGCCAATCTGCTTAAGGAAAGTGGTTTCACTTGTAGTAAATCTTATTCGAATCTTATCTAATTATTGCTGGCAGGTTTGGTTTTGTGTGTGTGTGTGTGTGTGTGTGTGTGTGTGTGTGTGTGTGTGTGTGTGAGAGAGAGAGAGAGAGAGAGAGAGAGAGAGAGAGAGAGAGAAACCTCTAACCCTTATTGCTTTTCTTCTTTTTCAAGAAAGACAAAAGACTGCTTGGAGCACACAGTAACAGACTAGAAATGACTTTGTCCAGCCAAGTTTTCAAGAGAAGCAAAGATTGTCAGGTATAGGCTGAGAGACCACTTCAGCCTCCTAAGGAGACTGGCTTTATAAAAGTATAACATGTAAGAAGCATGCACTGAATGTTTAACTCAATCAATGTAACAAATAATTAGAAAAGTGGGCTTGTGGTAACTAAGGTAAGTGTCCAGAACCTGGCTGGCATGAATGGCATGAATGTTTTTTTTTTCTTTTCTTTTTTTCTTTCTTTCTTTTTTTTTTGGTTAAGGGAAAGTTGAGTATCAAGAGGATATGGAGATACGATCGACCTTACACACTTAGAGTATTCACAATACAATCCGTGTATTTGTTCTCATCTCAGAAGCCCCAGGCTTGGTCTTTGTTACCTATTGGATTTCAGGAAGGCTGACTTGAGATGCGGCGTTGCCATTTCCTGGGCCTTCACTTATTTTTTTTTTTTCCGGCGCTGGCAGCCAGATCCTTTGTTGCGCCCCCTCGGCATTCATTTCTGCCCTCGCATCTCCAGACGAGGTGACGGGGTGACGGGGTGATGGGGATGATGTCCAGGTCATCGCGCGAAGAGCCCGAGACGACCAGCCTCGCCGGCCCCTGATAAAGGACAGCTGTGGCCAGGCGGGGGGCGTCGCGCCGCGCCCGCGCCACGCCGGGAGCGGACCGCTTTGTGTGCGCGTTTGTTTGTCTCCGCCGCGGTCCGACCGCGGGCCGCGACCCCCGGGGAGGCGGGGCCTCCTCGCACGGCTCCGCCCGGCCTGGGCTCAGGGCGCCGCCGCCGCCCTCGTTTGTTCCCTGAGATCTCCCAGCTCCGACCGCTGCGCCCAGCGCCAGGAGAGCCGGACGGGACCGCCCGGGAGCGCCCCGTGGCCTTCCCCCCAAGCACGCCCGCTGCTTGCTTTTCTCCCCGCTTCCTCACTTTCCCTCGTTAGCAGCATATCGGCGGGGCGCTTGGCAAAACTCAGACTAAAAACAAAAAAGAGAAAAGGACAAATTCGATGCACCAGTCTCGGACCTCCAGAGTTTGTAAAGGGTCGTAAGCATGTCGGAGTCGGGGGAGATAAGTGAATTTGGCTACATCATGGAATTGCTAGCCAAAGGCAAGGTAAGCGATGGGCGCGCGGGGCGGGCCTGGCGTCCCAACTCCGGCGCTTCCTGGCCGGTAGCTACAGGGGTCGGGGTCATTCCAGCAGGGGGAAGGGCTGGGAGCTGGGAACCCGGGGTCCGTGCGCTCAGAGCCGGCGTCCCGGCAGCTGCAGATCGCAGAGTAGCCACCTTTTCTTTATGGCGTGACGTCTCGGAAATGAGCTAAGGGGGGACATTCGGACGCGCTTGGGACCAGCTGGGCAACGGCGAGGGCTCCCGGGACGCCGAGGGGCCAGCGCCCACCCAGCGTGCGAAGGTGGAGAGGAGGGCGGGGCGTTGTCCGAGGGGGTCTGCCCCACGCACCCAGGACTGACTGCCTGGGTGGTGACTTCGAGTGGGTGACCTCGACTGTCTGGGCGCCAAGCGTGGAGGAGAGAGAGGCTCTGTAAGCGCGAGCGGGTCCGCGCAGTCAGACCGTGTGACTGGTGCCTAGGGCAGCGCCCTCTGCCCCGGTTCGCCCTGCCTTGGCGTTTTCAGCCCTCCTCTCGGGTCCTCAGGCGCTGCTCTAGGCCCCGGGAATATTTCAAGCAGTGTTCTTTTGGTGGGGAGGGGAGAGATGCTGGAGGAGCCGGATTTCAGCCCCGCACTGTCCCGGAGCCTTTAGGAACCCAGGCTAGCGCCGTCGGGGACGCCCCGCGACCACGCCCTCAGCTCGATTAGCCTGGCCGGAGCCTGCGGAAGTCTGGGCTCAGCGCTGCGGCCGAGAAGTTGCCCAGAGAGGTTCCTAAGTGACTTGCAGGCGGGACGTGTCGGGAAATACCGAGGTTGCACCTTGCACGGCCAGCCAGGACTCAGGCAGGGAGGAGGCGGGAAAGGGCATCTGCCCTGTGCGCCCGGAACTGCCAGCAGAAGCGGTGGCTCAGAGGGGAGCCCGACTCCCTGCGCGCCTCCATCAGAAAGAAAAGGGATGATTCTGCAGCTCAGGTTTGAGCACCTGAACTTCACACACCACTAACACCAACCCTGCTGATGGAGTCGTTAATTTAGCTGCATACTGGGCACGTTTAATGCATTGCCAGCCTAGACTCCCAAGCGAACCTATGCTTCCCTGAATTATTCTGTTCTGAATACATTCATCAGAAATAGAATATTCATTAACATTTTGAAGGTGGGTCTGTGCCTCGGGCCATTCCTACCATTTACAGCCTGGGCCGGAAGTACAAATGGAGGACACTCATTTCCACCCTGCACCTCCAGGGGCCTCCTACGCACACTGACCAGTACATCCAAGTCTCCAAACCGCCACTCCTGGACCACCTCCGGGCCTAGGGTGCGTGCGTATTGCTGCCTGCTCCGCCCTCTGAAGAATGGACCCTAGAGAGAAAAGTCCAGAAGAAATGGCTGACCCTGAGCGAAGAGGCGACCAAAAGTGGGCCAGAATCCTGCCTTCTAAAGAGCGGGATGTACAGCGAGACCCCGGTCGCCCAGGTCCAAGAGCCATGCCTAAACAGGACATCTTTTGGGGGACTGTGAGAGGATGGGGCGGGAGGTGGGGCAGGAGAAAAGAGAATGCCTTTTGTCTATTCAGAATAAATGAACTATTCTTGGTGGAATGGGGAATAGGATGATTGATAGGTGAGTTTTGTTCTATGACACGCGTTCTTCAAAGTAAGCTGGAATTTTACTGGTTGGCTATGCTTTTCTTCAATAGCAGATAAACCCTGAAATTCTGAGGGAATAGTTTTGGGATGGAACCCAGAGATCTGCATGTTATAACACCCCAGGTGACTATGAAGCAGACAGATTACTAAGACTGGTAAACACTGGCAGGGAGGTAGGGCAGAGCCATTAGTGAATCCTTAATACTCCTTGTAATCAAGTTAGATAAACAAAAACAAAAACAACCCTCTCAGGGGAGCAATGTGTTCATCACAACATGCTCACTGTAAGGAAAAAACAAAAATAAGCTTCTGGTGTCATTCATTGAATTTCTCTGCCTTTCTCTCTAGTCAGACCCTCTTCAGTAGGCTTCAGCAACTTTCTGTAAGTTGACTTACAGCATTGGAGAGGTCATGTGTCCCTTTTTCAATCTCTGAGGTTGGAAAGCTGGTTCACAGAGAAAGAGCTTAGGACATTTCTGCCTCTGCCTTTTTCTGGGGTGTGGGGAGGAGAGTTGGTCCTTTCAACTTAAGTTTATTCCCTACTGACCATTAGGTTAAAAATCTTGGTGAGACCTTCAAAAATGTTAGGCATCAAAATCCCAGTGGGGCCTCCAAAATGTTAGGTCAGACCCACCATGGGGGTGTCTATGAGCTGTTGCCACAGAAAAGACGCAAAGAATTGCACAGAAGTTAGCTTGGAAAATACAGTTTATTTAAAAAGTAAATTAGCAAGAGAGAAGATTCACCTCCCAAGGTAGGAGAGGGGACCAAAGCTAGGAAACTTGGAGGCCATAGCTCAAAGAGCCATGTGGACACACCAGAGTTTGACAAAGCAATAGCTAGAAAGTAAATCAGAGAGAGATTGATTCACCTCCCCAAGGTAGGGGAGAGGGCCAAGGCTGAGAAAACAAGGCAGACATAGCTCAAAGAACACACAGCCTGGCCAGTGGTTAAGGAAACAATGGCGACTGCTACTTGAAGTTGAACGCCTTTTCAACCTTCCCTTATGGGAGAGGGGACTGGTTGTTAAGTTGATTGGGTGGGGGTCTGCTCCACATCATCATGGAGGACAGGTAGGCACAGGTACTGACTCAGGTGTTTGGTGCAGGCAGATGGATGGGTTAGTCACATAACAGCTGCCATGGTGATGGGGTCTGTGTCACAAAGGGCTAATTAGGTTGATGTATACAAAACAAGCTGGGGAGGGGGTTGTAAAACAATTATCAATAGCTACCTCTGAGGAACTAATTCTGCCCCTGGCTAGTGATTAGAGGGTAAATTAAAGGGAACTGCTAGAAAAACATGACAAAGCTAAGCGATGCTAGAATGGCTATTCATTGGGTATATTGACTCCATGTTATGTCCTTTCACTGATGTCAACTCTCTCCAGCTTCATTTTAAACCCCTGTATTGTGTGTGACTATACAGGAATTTAACATTGACTGTTAGCCATGGAATAGCAGAACTTTGAGATAAACCTGCTTTATTTTCCTTTGAGGAGTTAGGTTGCATTTTGTAGTTCAGGTCTGTAATATAATGGATGACATAAAACTGCCTAATTCTGAGAGTTCAAGGAGAGTAGAGGCCTGTAGTCTGCCTGCCCACCCCTTTTCACAAAGTTGAGACCACTGAATTGACCGTCCTCATAATTACTTTCTCTTTTCTCCCAGATGTTGTTTCATCCTTGTTCTGGACTTCTCAAACTCTATACATTTGATTTAAAACACATGCTTGAAAATTGTACAGAATTAATATTTTGCTTGTGGAAAAATATTCAAACTTCACAGAAAACACTGCCCTCCCCAGGGACAGCAGTTTATATGTCTATTTAAAATTAAATTAGCTGACTGTGTATTCTCTGAATGTGGGAAATGAGCCTTTCATCTTAGTGTAACCTAAAACCTTCCTGACAAACTTGATCAGCTACTTTATCCTATTGTGATGGTTACTTTAATATTTAAGGTACACAGTGATCTCTACCATTGTGATGCTTCTGTTCATCTAACAATACCCTATACTGTAAGTATGGTTAATACTTATGATAATTCTCAAGACATTTAAAAAATCAATGTAAATGTATTTTCAGATATTTCACAGCGGGAAACGTTTACCATTTCTGAAAGCTGTCTTTTTGTTTCTTTTGCAACTCATCTCTTTGGACCAAAAGAGAGCTTTTCAAATCTGTGGTCAATACCTAGGATTACTCAAAGCAGTATTTTCAAACTGTTTTGGTCTCTTAAAAGGTTTGCCTCATTAATTATGACCATCATACATTATTCTGGAATCATATAATGAAGATTTGATACAAAGACCATAGACTTTAAATTTAGTATATCCTCTTATATTTTGCATATTTAACATACTTATATTTATGTATACATACCCAGAAAGTACATACCCAGAAAGTACATTTGTTTCCTATGGTTCAATAATTAGTGTTCAGACATGTCTAAGGAATACAGTAGTTTGAACAACATAAAAGAGACTTTGGAAAGTTTACACCTAATTTTGATTGTAGAGAAAAAGGCAATGATACCATTACTTAGTGAATTTTTATTTTAACTTTGAATAACTTTGAGGCACAAAAAAATTCAAGAATTTTTACAAATAAAACTTACTTTAAAACAAGGCAACAGTTATACTCTGAAAGAATTAGGTTTAGAAAATCCTCAAATCTAGACTAATGTAAGGTCTTAAACATTTCCTGGGACCAAAACAAAAATACCACCAAATGATCTGTTTCAGAAGGACGAATAGACAGTTGCTCACACAACTACAATCTAAACTGGGGTCATAATGGTAAGGTAGTGTTTACTGCAAAGTATTCTTTAAAATTTTTTTTATATCACGAGATTGAGTGACATGTATGTGCTGTGGGGAGTAGGGAAGACAAAGAAGAAGATTTGGTCTTTTGCAGTATCATTTGAAAAGAACTAATTTCATAAATTTCACAACTTTCCTCTTTTTTACTACATTGTCCTAAAAGATAATTGGGGGGAGGGGGAGAAGTATCTTCTAAACTACTTTGTAAAAGAATGTTTAAATAGGATTTTTAATGAAATTGTAAATTACATGGTTTGCACTTTTTTTTTGAGACAAGGTTTTACACTGTCACTCAGGCTAGGGTGCGGTGACATGACCATGGTGCACCACAGCCTCTAATTCCTGGTCTCAAGCAATCCTCTTGTCTCAGCCTCCCAAGTGGCTGGGGCTATAGTCATGTGTCATCATGCCTAGCTAACTTTTAAACAATTTTTTTTTGTAGAGATGAGGTCTCGCTATTTTGCCCAGGTTGGTCTTGAACTCCTAGCTTAAACCAATCCTCCCAAGTCAGTTTCCCAAAGTGCTGGGATTACAG